GTAGTGCAGTGGCACAATCTTGGCTCACAACAACCTCTGCCTCCCGGGTTCAAGCAATTCTCTGCCTCAGCCTCCTGAGTAGTATTTTTAATAGAGATGGGGTTTCACCATATTGGCCAGGCTGGTCTTGAACTCCTGACCTTGTGATCCATCCCCCTCGACCTCCCAAAATGCTGGGAGCTACCACGCCTGGCCACAAAAATCATTTTTTATAATGACTTTTTCCTCTTTATTTTTTTAATGCAAGAATTAATGGCTATTTCCACAGCATTGTTATAAAAACCCAAATTGAGCAAAAAAGAAAATGTTAGCCAGTTTTTTTTTTTTGAGACAGAATCTCACTCTGTCACCCAGGCCAGATTGCAGTGGCATGATCTCAGCTCACTGCAACCTCCGCCTTCCGAGTTCAAGCGATTCTCATGTCTCAGCCTCCCAAGTAGTTGGGACTACAAGCATGTGCCACCACGCCTGGCTAATTTTTATATTTTTACCAGAGACGGGGTTTTGGCATGTTGGCCAGGCTGGTCTCGAACTCCGGACCTGTAGTGATCTACCCACCCCAGCCTCCCTAAGTGCTAGGATTATAGGCATGAGCCCTCACACCTAGCCTCCAGTTTTCTTTCTAGTCAGAAGGCCACTGTGTTTTGTTTTTGGTTTTGTTTTTTTTTGGTGTGAATTACATTTTTTTTTGCATGAACTCTGAGACGTGGTTTTTAAAACGATGATGACTGTATTGTCTTTCACTTCCACAGGATTTTGACTTTTCCTTTTGCTAAGAGGATACAGAAGGCTTTAGCTCACAGAAGCAGGATATTGTAGGCAGAATTGGATCTCCTTTGTACCTTTGACAGGTGCTGTTAGGCAGAGAGAAACCTGATTTCATCAAGAAAAACCTAAGATCATCAAGTTGAATTCGTATCAGATCTTTTTTTTTTTTTGTCTTCAAGTTAATCATTCACTTTCTGTTACTACAGTAGAACATAAATTAGGTATAGTAGATAAAATGCAATTAGGAAATGCAGGTGGAAATTATGAGCCAAGACAGCATTTTTTCTTGCTCTAGTCTAGTCTAACTAGCCTTTTACCAACACCAGGGACCAAGAAGTTGCTGAATAAATGTAGTATTCTGAGTTGAAGATGGAAAAGGATCAGTATCAGCCTAAGCAGGAACGCAGCATACTGGGGCTACAAGCCTCTGATGTTGAAAGAACTCCTTATCCACAAGCTACTTCTATACCTATTCTTTTTTTTTTTTTTTTTTTGAGATGGCGGAGTCTCGCTCTGTTGCGCAATCTCGGCTCACTGCAAGCTCCACCCCCCGGGCTCACGCCATTCTCCCGCCTCAGCCTCCTGAGTAGCTGGCACTACAGGCATCTGCCACCACGCCTGGCTAATTTTTTGTATTTTTAGTAGAGATGGGGTTTCACCGTGTTAGCCAGGATGGTCTCGATCTCCTGACCTCGTGATCCGCTC